TTATATGTAAAGCACCTGTGACTCTCTTTAAGATTTTTGATACAGGTACAAAGGGGGGAAAGGTGCTATAATCACCTTGTGAATAGATAATTAGTTGAATTTTGCTATATTGGTTCAATACCTTGTGATTCTAATACATGGAATCATTTTGTTTGAATGATCCCAATCGGCCTCTCAGAATGCTTCCACATAACTAATTCCAAGAATTATGCCCTTACTACCTACATGATTGGAACAAACTTAACCACCTTTTGAGTTTAGTGAACTGAAAGATATGTAAAGTAAAGTAAAGGTAATAAAGGCCCTCCCGTTGTTCGTCGATTTGCTCAAGCGGGCCCAGTAACGTCTCCATTGGAGACTTTGTTGTTACTGTGTTTGGCATATCGAATACGTCACGGGGAGCTTGCCAGGCTCTGCCGTGCGGGCGAGATACTCTGGGCTCTCGGAGAGGGGCGGAGGAATCGAACTCAGGTCGGCCATGTTGGCTGCGTGCAAGGCAAACGTCCTACCGCTCTGCTATTGTTTGCCTTGCACGCAGCCAACATGGCCGACCCGAAAGATATGTGGTTTTGAAATTTTTATTTTCAAAGATTATTCAATTTCCCCTTTAATTTTTCCCCTTTAAGTCAATCTTTCTACAAAACACTCCCTGGGAACACTTATTGTTGTGGGAACACTCATTGTTGACAGCCAACAATACCTTCTTTCATTGTCACCCACCCTACCACCTCATCTCATGCTTGAAACTTCCCCTGTACTCCTTCCAGTTGTCTGAGCAACTATCACTTGGACCTGTGGACTTTGCATTTTTCTAACGTCTATTTCAGACAGCCCTGTAATGTTCTGGGAGACCAAAGCTGCTACATTAGTCTCAAATTCATGTGGCAGCTGCAGGAACAAGGACATAGGAGAAGGTTTGAGCATAAGATGAGAGATGTTAGGATGTGTGAGTAACTCAGAGGGCCTTCTGCTGGACATGTCCTGAGCATTGCCCCTAGGAGACTGGTTACAGACCTGGGTCTTATGTTCATGTGACAAACCTTTTATGATATGCCATCTGAATTCTCATTTCCAGGTGAACTCCCCTAACCTAGAGTTAGTGGTGCTGCAGAAGCTCTCCCTACAGTCATGAAAGAGGCCATTCTGTTTGATTAGACAGTCCCAGAGCTCAGTGGTGGTCAAGCAGATGTGCACCTGTCTGCTCAATGCCACTTAATTCTCTGGCAACACAGAGAATTTTCACTGTCACTGTCACTGTCCTCCCGTTGTTCATCGATTTGCTTGAGCGGGCCCAGTAATGTCTCCATTTTGAGACTTGTTGTTACTGTGTTGGCATATTGAATACATCACAGGTAGCTTGCCAGGCTTTGCCGTGCAGGCGAGATACTCTCGGTAGCTTGCCGGGCTCTCCGAGAGGGGCAGAGGAATTCCACCTCAAATATCTGACACCTCTCATGGGGCAAATGCTGAACAGCATGATTTTTCTTATCCAGAAACATCATCTGACTTAAAAACATATTTGTAATATTTATAAGACTTTTCCCAAATAGTCTGGTGGAAGAGGGGAAAGCCTCAGACGGTGGATTTGATAGGGCCACTATCTTCAGGAAGCCTCTTTGGTGTTGATTAAGGTTTATCCTATAGGCAGGGAAAATGAAACTGGTATTTTGGGATAGGGTATATTATATGCTTCCCTCCTTAGAAGCTGAGAGAATGAAAGCAGGTTCTTTTCACTTCCATTAATTTTTCTTGTAGTCCCTCACTCATTCCATAAAAATTGAGTGATCCAACACCCAATAAGAGAGAGAGAGAACAAAAGGGAATGCCCTGCCACAGAGGCAAGGTGGGATGGGGGGGATGGGGTGTGGGAGGGATACTGGGATCCGTGGTGGTGAGAAATGGGCACTGGTGGAGGGATGGGTATTTGATCATTGTATAATTGAAACCCAAGCACAAAAATTTGTAAGTCTAAAACTGTACCTCATGATGTCTCACTAATAAAAATAAATAAATTTTAAAAAATTGAGTGATCTCCTCTCCACATCCTGCTTGGAAGGTACTGTGAGGGACACACACAAACAAGGGGCCAGCCTTGGCCAGAGGAACTTAAAATATATTCTTGGAAGACAAGGTGGAAATACAAGCCTTTCTAAGAAAGTGTCTGCAGCATGCCAGTGGGATGAAGAAGAAAATAGGGTTGGCAGTGCTCAAAGGAAGGAGGGGTTGCTGCATCTGAGTTACTTAAAGGAAGAATGCCTTGCAAGCTACCCTGGGAACAGTGAATGAACATGTTCTATTTGTCAGAAATGTCAAGGAATCTGAGACCATTACAGCGGTGATTAGGACATCACTTTGACCTTCATGAGTAGAATTTCAGGAGTAGATGTCTTTGAAAGTTAGAGAACAGCTAGTTAGCAGAAGTATTGTAAGGAGTGGAGAGTGGCCACTTATTAGAGAATTTTGATCATGGAAGGGGAAAGGCCAGCAAAATCAAGGAGAATGTCTTCCCCAACAGGAGAAAATTGAAAATTTGAAAGCAGAGGCTACTGGTTTATTGGAAAGGACAGGTTAAGAGGCTTAAATAGGAATAATTTGTAAAACCCCACAAGGATAATGTTCATGAAGGAAAGAGTCACAGAATATCATTAGTATTATGAGAGACAAACAAGTGGCACAAAACATGTTTTTGTGATTGATACAAAAATGCTATGTGAAATAAGTCAGTGGAGAGAATGTAGCTCAGTAATGGTAAGAAGACCTGGGTTTGATCCCCAATATGTAACAAAAAAGGAAGAAAGAAAGAAAGAAAGAAAGAAAAGAAAGAAAGAAAGAAAGAAAGAAAGAAAGAAAGAAAGAAAGAAAAAGAAACTGCATTTTTTGGTTAGTAATTCAAGTAAGAAGTTGAGGAGGAAAGTTTATAAGTATTTCCATTTTTAGGGTCCCATTTTTAAATAGCATGTTTTATATCTTCTGATAGTAATTAAATGCGATTATTTTCTATCCTCTCAATGAAAGCCCAAGAAATGCAGAGTAAGATCGGGTTCTTTGGGTTTTTGTTTGTTTGTTTGTTTGTTAGTGAAGCACTATGAGGTACAGTTGTAGACTTACAAATTTTTGTGCTTGGGTTTCAGTTATACAATGATTGAGTACCCATCCCACCACCAGTGCCCATTCTCCACCACCAATCCCAGTATCCCTCCCACCCACCCTCACCCCCCATTCCACCCTGCCTCTGTGGCAGGGCACTCCCTTTTGTTCTCTCTCTCCTTTTGGGTACTGTGGTTTGCAGAAGAAGCATTGGGTGGCAATCATGTTCGGTCTACAGTCTACTTTCAGCATGCATCTCCCATCCTGGGCGGATCTTCCCAACACCCTTTATTTGGTGCTCCCTTCTCTATCTGAGCTGCCTTTACCCCTAGAGTGTGCGGCTGGCCTCAAAACCATGGAGTGAACCTCCTGGTATTTATCACAGCTGTTCTTGGGTGTTAGTCTCTTATTTTGTTACTTTATGTTACCCAGATGAATGCAATCTTTCTATGTCTATCCCTCTCTTTCTGGCTCATTTCACTTAGCATGGTATTTTCCATGTAGTACCACTTGTATGTAAATTTTATTGCTTCATTTTTTTCTACAGCTACATAGTACTCCATTGTGTAGATGTACCAAAGTTTCTTTAACCAGTCATCTGTTCTCGGGCACTCAGGTTTTTTCCATATTCTAGCTATTGTAAACAGTGCTGCAATGAACAAACAAGTGCAGGTATCACTTCGACTGTACTTTTTTGCCTCTGTGGGGTATATTCCCAGGAGTGGTATTGCTGGGTCAAATGGGAGCTCAATTTCTAATTTTTTGAGAATCGTCCATACTGTTTTCCAAAAGGGTTGAACCAGTCAGCATTCCCACCAGCAGTGAAGGAGGGTCCCTTTCTCGCCACATCCGTGCCAGCACCGGTTGCTTTTGTTCTTGTGGATGTGGGCCAGTCTCTGTGGTGTGAAATGATATCTCAATTGTGGTTTTGATCTGCATCTCCCTAATGATTAATGATGTAGAGCATTTTCTCATGTGCCTTTTAGCCATTCGGATTTCTTCTTTGAAAAAGTTTCTGTTCACTTCGTTGCCCCACTTTTTGATGGGACTGGATGTTTTCTTCTTGTGGAGTTCAACCAGTACTTTGTATATCCTTGATATCAACCTCTTGTCGGATATGTATTCAGTGAATATCCTTTCCCATTCTGTAGACTGTCTTTGTATTTTGGTCACTGTTTCTTTTGAGATGCAGAAGCTTCTTAGTTTAAGATAGTCCCGTTTGTCTATCTCTGTTTTCACTTGCTTGGCCAGTGGCATGACATCTTTGAAGATACCATTAGCTTCAATGTCATGGAGGGTTTTGCCAACTTTGTCTTCAGTGTACCTTATGGATTCCAGTCTGATGTTGAGGTCTTTGAAGATCGGGTTCTTGGGACCTCACCTTTGCCTCTTCTTTTCACCAGTCTCACACACTTCATGACCAGGGCTTCTCTTGTCAACCCCCATTTTGTACCATTGCCTATCCACCTGAGTTAAGTGAGAGGTTGGTCAGAGGAGAACCAAGTCACACCTTTCGTAGACACAACTGACTGATTTCTGCGAAGTTCATTTTATTACAGCTGAGAAGCTTTCAGGGGACAAGAACATTCAGGAGTTAAGTACAAGTTTAATCACAGAATAGCAAGCCCTGTGTAAGATTTCATGGGATAGCCAAGGCATTGGAAGTATTTATGTGTGTCATGTATGTGTAAGCATGAATGTGTGTGTGTGTGTGTGTCAGAGAGAGCATGCATGTGTGAGTGTGTGTATAAGTCTGTGTGTATGATGTGTGGTTTGTGTGTTAGGTGTATTCTTCTCAATGTGTATTCTGCTACACCCCCTCTGCTAATGCCTCTGCGCCCTCTGAATGGAAGGTGCCATTGAAAGGAGCTTTGCTGAACACAGCCTCATGGGTGCTGTTCTCTCCTCCTCAGAAGCAGGGCTGTTCTCGGTAGTGAACAGCCGCTCCTTGTCTTTGCTGGGGAAGCTGACCATCAGTGCTGCCTTCAATGTCGTGTATATCTACACATCAGAGCTCTACCCCACTGTCATCAGGTATGTCTGACACCAGCCTGTCCTTCCCACATACTCTTGCCAGCAGGTACACTCCTCATGTCACCTAGAGCAGAGCTAGTGGGGTCAGTCACGGTTTAGCAAACAATTGTAAATCCTAAAACCAGCTGTAGACTGCTGCTGGCAAGCCTGCTTGAGGAAATGTGAGACAACATCTTGGGCCAGATTCCCTCATGTAAATTATGAGAGTGGTACTCTATAGCCAAGTTTTTCAACTGGGGGCCATATGGTCCCTGTGAATACCCAGGATAGTTCAAGGGGCCACAGGTGAAAATTGTGTAAATGGGGGATCACAGCATGGACTAGAGGACTGACCAGTAGGAAGGCAGCAAGTTCAGCAGGGAGCTAATCAAAACAAGGTTGAAAAACTACTACTTACAGTTTCTTTCCCATCACTACAGTATGCTACTACAGTATTCTCATCACTGAAGTACTCTACACTACTAAAGTACTTTCCATTACTACATGTTCTTAATTACCATGGAACCCTCCATAACTCATACCACATCACCTAGAGAGTGAGGGTTTTTCTGTCAGTGATTTCATTTTATTCAGTTAACTTGCCCTGTAACTCTTATCAGGCAAGGGACAAGGTTTCTGTTCTCAGAGTCTACATGTTAGCACAAAGTATCTTCAATTTTAAGGTGATTCTTTAATTATTAGAATAATTTATAAGTTGTTGGAGTTGGATTTTGAACAGTAGAACATATCAAAAAACATTCTATCCTAAGTTCTCCCTCATAAAGTAAATCTGAAAAAAAAAATCAAACCCAAATTTGCAGGATTGGAGTGTAGTTGAGTCTTTGAAGACTTGGAGAGTCAGCACCCATTCTGGGCATTTTGAGGATAACTCCAGTGAAACATTCTGTCTACTTCATGCATGCCATAGGAGATTTTCTGCCTTTTAAGTGTAAAATTCCTCTTTCCATTTTTTCCCCAAAATTGACAGCAATTGACTAGTAATTTCCTAATGGTTCTGATAACCTACTTTCTCTGACTCCTGGTTACAAGCCCAGCGTGGTCATTTTGTCCAACTGGGCCACTTTGGAGAGCAAATGTCTGCATTTTTGTGAGCATCTGGAATAACAAACTGATGTACAAGTATCCTTCTGACAGCCACTGTCATTGTCCCTGCCACATTCCCCAAGAACCTTCTTGGTTTCTTGAAAATATATGCTCATTCAATTTCTGTTTATACACTCGATCCCTTAAGGAGTTAGTTGAGTTTAAATGCATGAGCAGGGACAGAAGAGAGAGTACAGAAGGTAGGATACTTGCCTTGCACAAAGCCAACCCAGGTTTGCTCATCAGCACCTCATATGGTCTCTCAAACCCACCAGGGGTAATTTCTGAGCACAGAGCTGGAGTGATCCTAAACCAATAAATAAATAACAAATTACCAGGTCTTTCAGATCATAAAGTCTAGATTCTCTGTGTTTATCTAGAGACCTAGAACACAAAGGGTTTTAAGAGTATTATATGAATAATTATAGTGTAACCAGAAAGGTAGTCTAATGAACTGAAGTGCATGCTTTGCATATAGGAGACACAGGTTCATTTCCCAGCACTGCATGATCCCCTGAGCACCCAGGAGCAGTCCCAAACACAGAATTGGGAATCCTCAAATACCACTAACAAAAGGGGGGCAGAGAGCTAGTACAGTAGGTAAGGAACTTGCCTTGTCTGCAACTGACTTGGTTCGATCCCTAGTACCATATATGATCCTGTAGCACCCCCAGGAATGACATCTGAGCACAGAGCCAGGAGTAAGTCCCGAGCACAGTCAGGTATGACTTTCTCAAAGTAAGAAAGATCATAATAACATTCTATGAGATACTTACATGTTCATTTTGTAGCAGCCTCTATAACTTCATTGTTCATTATGGCAGTTACTAAACTCATATGCCTATTTAAATTTAATTAAAATGAAATAATTCAGAGTGCAGTGTCTGATTCTTCCTAGTCATTGTTCAAGTGCCTAGTATCTATATGTGTCTAGTGGTGCTCATACAAGAAAAGACGAAAGAAATAGGACAATTCTAGGATCATGGAATGTTTTAGTAGACAGTAGTGCTCTAGTATCCTGTACCTCTCATTTGGGACATATTATTTTTGTTCTATTCTCCCCAGTATCTTTATATTGTCCCCCTATAACTTACAATTTTTAAAACCTTTTTCTTCTGCCTTTCAGGAATGTTGGGCTTGGAACTTGCTCCATGGTCTCCCGAGTTGGTGGGGTCATTGCTCCCTTCATCCCCTCACTGGTTGGTTTGTATCTCCTAGTTCTGTTGTGTTTGTCTTGGTTTTGTTCAGTTTTGATTCCATGCTTTGGAAATGCTTTTGAGTAGAAAGAAGTTATGAACAACCACCTGCCATTGACACTTAGCCTGACAGAAAAGTGGGACTTGAGCCTTTTAGATTAAGGGCCCATCAGGGAAGATGGATATAACAAGATAGGATGGATTTAACCAAAGAATTGCTTATCTCATTTTTACTCATTGACCAGTTAGATAATGCAAGCCTGCCCCCTCGCTCCCCTCCCCACATCTCCCCATTCACAAGTTAGAGAATATTTAATAAATTGCCAGAGGGGAGAGGTGCTAATAAATACAACACGTATCTCTTCTCGTGTAATCTGCACAATAACCATGTGAGATAGCCTTGCTGCTGCCCAGGTCTACAGTGAGAAAGCAGAAGTTCAATAACTTCTTCCAAAGACATGCCACTTGAAAAAAAAAAAAAAGGTTGAACACACAGAGTGAGTGAGCACCTAACAAGTATCTATAGTTGCCATTTTCTAAATTTCATGTCACACTTGGTCTGATCTATGATTTTCCCAGCCAAGACTTGGGACTGGAGAGATGGTGTAGGGGTCACAGCCTCAGATATATGTCTAGCACGTGGCAGACCCTGTTTGATCCCAACCCCACATATCCTCAGTCGTCACCAGGTGATGCTACCCCAACTACCTACCCCCCAAAAAATACTACTGGAAAGGTGATTAGAGTTGCTGTGGGTGTTGGCAACTGTCTGAAGTCAGTTTTCCAGGCAATTTTACTCACCCACTGCCAGTACTACTGGCTCCCACTGACTGGTTCAGATGCCCCTGAAATGCCAGTATAACCTTTTCTTCTTCAGAGTTACAATATGCTTCATTTTTTCTATTTGTTTAGTTTAGTTTTTAAAGTAGCTCCCTCTATGATTCATGCTTAATTTTAGGTTGAAATATTCTTCTTATGAAAAAGTTATATTCTATTCTGCACAATGTGTTCAGCAGTCAGTATATTGTTAGTACTGTTCACCTTTCTAATACCCCAGAGTCTATTTCTGCTAAGAGGAAAGGAGGTGAGAAGGTTCCCTTGATTTTACCTTCCAGTCCCAGTACTGAGGAGGCATTTATATAGATATGGATAGAGGTCAACAATCCTCCACCCTCTCCTCTCTATCCCTCTGTGCCTCTCTCCCTTGTCCTCCTCTTTCTTCATCATCTCTTCACATTGGAAAAATTCAGGAAAACAGTGTCTGATGGCCATCCTAACAAGCAGTGGTCCTGGACACAGAATTTGGTTGCCCCAAGCAGAAGGCCATAAAGTCGCAGTGACTCCACAGAGGAATGTAAGAATGTCCCTGGGCTCAGAATGGCCCAGATCCATGCCCTGTAGAGGACACCTGCTGTGTTGTTATCTCTGAGTTGTTTGTATTAAGAGGAACTATTTGAAGTTTCCTGAGCCATTCTTTTGGATCTCTGAAGCTGGATTTTGTACATCTCCGGCCCACATGTGGTAGATCAGGACCCTTCATATATTCTGGGCTTCTTCAGGCATTCCCTCATTGCTCAGTGTATTTGTGTTAGTAGCCCTCTCACTTCCCATGCTTAAGTGAATTAGTGAATTGGACATGGAATTGTTGGGCTCGTTCCAGATCGAACACCTTGGAATTCACATCTGCAGTGATTCCCCGTGCCTCCTCTGTGATGAGAGGCGCAGGGTGCTCTAAGCTGCCCGCCTGAGCACAGCTTCCTGTCCCCTGTGGTGGCGGGAGCCTGGCTGACTCATCCCAGCCACGGCTTCTCTTCCCACAGCACCCCAGCAGACTGACAGCAGCGCCCGGAGTCTGACCTGGCAAATCCCTCCCCTGTCTGTGTGCCTGAGCTGGTTTCCTGATAATTCTCTGTGGGGAGAGAAATATTTATGGTCGATGCTGGTGGGAAGGTTTGAACTGGAGAATAGTAAGCACAGCAGTTGGGTTGCGTTTCAGCTGACATCATCTGCTGGGAAGCCTCCTGAGCCTTTGTTTGTTTTTATTGTATTCCCTGTCCCTACAGAAATATGTGCAGTGGTCTTTACCCTTCATTGTTTTCGGAGTCACTGGTCTGACCTCTGGCCTCCTGAGTTTATTATTGCCAGAAACCCTAAATAGTCCATTGCTGGAGACATTTTCTGACCTCGGGGTGTATTCCTATCGAAGACTGGGTGAGGAAGCTTTATCTCTGCAGACCTTGGAACCTCCACAGGTAAGTCTGTGGTTTTCTTTGCTAGCTCAGATCTAGGCTATTAGTTGGTGAGGAAGAAACAAAACAAAATAAAACAAAGAATATTCTGGGGGCTGGAGCGATAGCACAGCGGGTAGAGCATTTGCCTTGCACACGGCCAACTCGGGGTTCAATTCCCAGCATCCCATATGGTCCCTCGAACACCACCAGGAATAATTTCTGAGTGCAGAGCCAGGAGTAGCCTCTGCATTGCTGGGTGTGACCCAAAACGCAAATAATAATAATAATAATAATAATAATAATAATAATAATAATAGTATTCTGGTTAGATTAAATAGAGTTGGGTAAAACTGCTACAAAACAGAAGAGAGGCTGGTTTTCAGATAAAGAGGAGGAAGGAGTCATGAGCTTGCTTTTGGAGAATACTTCAGGGCCTGATTCTCAGGTGAATGGAAGCCATAAAAATACATTGGTTGGAGTGATAGTACAGCAGGTGAGGCATTGCCTTGCATGCTCAGACCAGGGTTCAATCCCTCACATCCCATATGCTCTCCTGAGCACCACCAGGAGTGACTCCTGATTGCGGAGTCAAGAGTAACCCCAAAGTATTGCCAGGTGTGCCCTCAGAACAAAAAACAAACAAGCAAAAATTACATGGGTCAGATAGTAATTTTCATTCCAGGAATGTTATGACTTTATCATCCCCCATCCTGTTACAGCCTGCTGACCAAGAGAGCACTGTGGGGAGTGAGAGTGAGGAAGAAGAGTTCTATGATGCAGACGAAGAGACTCAAATGATCAAGTGAAGCACTTGTTCCCATTCAGAAGTCGAGAATCAGTCTTTGTGTCTCTGACTCAAGCAGGTTCTCCAGGGAAGTTTGAGCGCTTGTGGAATAGACTTGAATATCCCTAGGAGGGCCGCTGTTTGTGCTGATAGTTCTCCACACAGAAGAAGTTGAATAGGAGACTTTCTGAGAGAAGAGACCAGAGCATGAAGGAAATGGTTTCTCATTTGTCTAAGATCGGAATCTTGACCTCCGACTGGAGTTCAGATCTATGTACCACAGTGACACCTGAGTGGTTTCTGCGCGTCTGGTCACTTTGCTTTTTCTTTTGCCAGGGACTACAGACGGATAGGTACAATGACTTCTCATTACTAGAGTGGGGTGAGATACACTGCCCTCAAGATTTTATCTGTAGGTACCTTTGGATTTGAGTTGTATGCCACATCCAGTATCCAAATCAGTGACTCCTCAGCAGCACAATCTCTTGAGGTCTGTTGGTATAAGGCATGGCATTTTACGTGAAAGGAAACATACTGAGGAGACAGTTGCTTGGCCTCCGCCTTCCAGCTTCGACTGAGATCTGGGTCCTCAGTCAGGTTTCTGTCCTGGTAGTTGGCTTGAATTCCTTGTGCCTTTAGCCCCAGAGATGACTCACTCAGAGAAGCCAGCTAACCAAAGTAATTTTCTCAGAGTCTGAGGTGTAACTTTGGCTTAGTGAGCTCCCTTCTCCTTCAGTCCTTACTTCTGAGTCTCCAGAAAGATTTCCAGCTCAGATTCCAGTATCAGCAATAACTGCCACGTACAGTCCCGGGTCAGGTGTTCAAAGGTAGAATACAGTTCAAAAGTGATGCTTAGGCTCTTAAAATAAAACAGTGGGAGCAGAGATACCATTTTTATTATAGAAGAAAAGAATCTTCAGCTTTCACAATTTTTATTTCTTTGTTTTTAGCATTGTGCAATGAAGGACTTGGCCAACCTTTAAGAACCTGACCTTTGTTCGCGCTGTTAGCCCCTGGCTGCACTTAGTGAGAATGGAAGTCATTTCAGAGCCAATGTTGCCTGTTCATTACCTGCCAACGTTTTCAAATAAATCAAAACCATACTTAGTTTCCTAAAGTCACATGCTAAAAATATCTTTCCCTGTAAAGCTTGACTATTACCTTCGATAGAAATATTAACCGTGAGTTAACAAGGGCATCCATGTGTGAGGTCACCTTTCCAGCTGATTGTGACCTATGGTTATAATTTCAGCACTGCTAATTTATTAGAAAAATATAAATTGCATTAGAGGTAAAGGGATGCAATTATTGGAGTTGCTGATGACTGCTTCTGAATGTGTTGGTGTTATAACTTCTGATAAGCTTGAATATTGTCCTATGCTCTTTCACATACACCTCTTGGTTTGTACTGTATCAGTGTGAACCTTTGTAGAGGCAAAAGTATTTCCATATCTTCTATGCCCTTGACTCATGTCTTGGGCTTTTCCAAATAGGAGCCTCACTGCTACTGTTGATTCCCCTCTGCTCTGCCTAGAGCGTGGGCCTGAACACAGGAAGGACCTAGTAAATAGTACTGCTTCTGGTCCTCAGGAAAATTGTGGAATTGTTCCAAGTCTTCCTTTTGTAATACCAGGCGTATCTAGCCCCAACCCTCAGACTGTGGAGTCCTGCTATCTCTGTTTGGGAATTGGAATTCATTCCCATCTTCAGAAAAGGAAGAAAGGAACAACTAATAAATTCTTTCCTGTCCAGAGTTTAGAAATATAGCAATAACATATATGTGATTTTTGGTTGCTTGGAGTACTCTTCACATTCCTATTATAGAAGACTTGGAAACATGATGATTAAAAACTTTTAGCACATGAGGCTGAAGTGATAGTTTACTGGGTAGGACATTTTCTTTGCATATGGCTCACCTGGGTTCAATTCTTGACCTCCCATATGGTCCTCCAAGTACCACCAGCAGTGATTCGTGAGTGCAGAGCCCTGAGCACTGCTGGGTATGGCCCAACCAACAGAAAAAAAGCATAAAATCTTCTAGCACCATGGCTCAACACTCAGAGAAAACCAGTGCTAGCACTTGGTCCTGTTTGAAGACCAGTAGGGAATCCATTTCCCTGTGGGTTTTGGTATTCCCATTATCTCCATCTAAATAAATGAAGATTCCATCAGTGCTTTTTCTGTGTGTCCTCTTCTCTCAGCTGTGGGCTTGGAGCAGGACACATGATGCTTTTAAGTTGGGTACCTGCTATTCAGATTCAGTGTGTGAATCAAATTTTGTTTCTTCCTAGAATGTTTTTGGGTAAAATGTAATAACGATAGTATTTCATTTCACAGCTTTTCAATAAAAACATATTTCCCCCTTTTGGATATTAAGTGTTAAACGGTGATTGTAGAGAGTGTACAGGTGTATATATTTTATATTGATTAAATTATTGGAAAAACTTCATTTATCTTAATAATCTGTGCAGATGTTTTGTAAAAGTGACTTTTTAATTTATTTTAGTTGTTTCCAAAAATCACAATTTCTTTTTCTATAAATACAAGCACAAAAAGTGTCAGATACATATAAAGCCTCAAGTTTTTGTGTGTCAAAATTCTACATTAACAGCCTGTCCAGAACCTTGACATCACTTAGAAATTCTGAAAGAAATGGTAGCTTCCTGATTTTGTAAGTTAAAACCACACCTGTCATAGTGAAAATACAATATTTGTCATTGGACTGCTTTAAAGCAATGTAGATATTCCTTAGTAATCAGTAATTTTATCATTGGAAGTCAGTAAATAAATTACAGCAAATGCACAAGCTGATGGGTTTCTTAACACTTAAATTTATTTAATCTGAACTGATAGCTAATAGAGGTCAAATCAATGGAGAAACTTTTATTTATTTTTTTTATTAGTGAAACACCATGAGGTACAGTTGTAGATTTACAATTTTTTGTGCTTGGGTTTCGATTATACAATGATCAGATACCCATCCCTCCACCAGTGCCCGTTTTCCACCACCATGGATAATATCCCCCCACCCCCATCCCCCATCCCCCCATCCCCCCCTGCCTCTGTGGCAGGGCAATCCCCTGTGTTCTCTCTCTCCTTTTGGGTGTTGTGGTCTGCAAAAGAGGCATTGAGTGGCAAACATGTTCAGTCCATAGTCTACTTTCGACATGCATCTCCCCTCCTGGGAGGATCCTCCAAACATCCTTTATTTGGTGCTCCCTTCTCTATCTGAACTGCCCTTTCCTCTAGGATACCCGGCTGGCCTCTAAGTTATGGAGTAATCCTCCTGGTGCTGATCTCAGCTATTCTTGGGTATTAATCTCATATTTTGTTACTTTATATCCCCCAGATGAATGCAATCTTTCTATGTCTGTCCCTCTCTTTCTGACTCATTTCGCTTAGCATGATACTTTCCATATTGTACCACTTGTATGTAAATTTCATGACGTCATCTTTTCTAACAGCTACATAGTACTAAATGGAGAAACTTTTAATATAGATATAAATGTAGATACACATATTTATATGTTGCATAAATACACATATCTATATGTGTATTTATGCAAATTTTATTGCCAGGGATTGAACCTCAAGAGCTTCATATATAAGTCAAACTACAGTCGGGTCACCTAGATTTGCATCCTTAACAAAAACATATTGAAACTGTTGTCACGGTTATAATCATTGTTCAAATATGACTTTTCAGTAGGACTTAGTTCTCTTAAGAACTCACAATGTAAACTTAAGATAGCAACTTATATATTGCTTTTTATATATATAGGGACCATAATTATTATTTATTTCCCTCTACTTTGGCTGGAATATGGGCCTATATAGGTGTTTGGGTAAAAACATTGGTGGGGCAGGGGGGTGAGGGACATAAGGGTGTCACCTGGTGGTGCTCAGGACATACTCCTGACTCTGGTCAGTGACCACTCCTGGCATTGTGTCGGGGACCATATGCAGTGCCAGGGATTCAACTGGGGTCAACAGTGTGCAAGGCTAACACCTTATTTCTGTACTATCTCTCAGGACCTATATAAAAATTAATAAAATGCAGTTATTTTGGCATCATGAATTTGATAATTATAAAACATATATCTCTTGGCCAGAGAGAAAGCTCAACGGGCTGAATACATGCTTTGCATCTAGATGGCTCGAGATCAATCCTGTACGGTCCCCTGAACACAGAACAACTGGGAGTAGCGACCAAGTACAAACAGGTGTGGCCCAGAAGCAGAAACAAAAAAACTGTAAATCTTCTCTTGCTTCAGAATGTCATGATAGGGAACAAAGAGATAGTACTTGCCTTGCATGCAACCAACCCAGGTTCAATCCTCGACACTCTTTAATGGTCCTTCGAGCCTTCAGAAGGAATCCCTGAGCACAGAGCCAGGAGTAAGCCTGAGAATAGCCAGATGTGGCCCAAAACAAACAACAATAACAAAAATAAATGTCAGGATAATAGAGGCATCCATGACAAATTGGGTAAGTACAGTATCTGTTAGACATTATGGTGGTATGTGGAACATAGAATCATGGGAACAATAAATGACTATAAAAAAACATTTTTAGAAAACTCCAAAGCCAGTGCATTGTTGGAAACTCAATCTATGCAGTACTTGAAAGAGTTCAGAATGTATGATTGCCTTATTAAGGTTATTTGACAAAATTTAACACTTTTTCAAAAAGCTACCAGCAGAAGAATCACAGGGAATTCATGGACCAATACTTACTCTTGTTAGGTACCCTGATGATTTATATTCTGTTTTTCTGTATTTCTTAAATACCCTTTGTGACCCACTAAATTGATTTCATGGCCCAGTAATGGTGTATAATCCATACTTTGAAACTCATTGTTCTATTGTGTCCTTTTGTACTAAGCTTAACTGTGAAAATGCTCATTCTCACAATTTCCCTATAACTAAGCTTTCTTCCAGGTGCTGTTTAGTTTCTGTTGCTTAGAGACAGCTGGAACCTGAGAGGTGGGAGTGAAGAGGGGCCATGGTTGTGGTGTTGTGTTGTTTCTGTAGGACTCCCAGTGGGGGAGGCATTTGGTTTCACACAATCAGTTTCAGCAGAGACACTGACATGAGCAAGAAACTCAACTTCTCAGACATGGAAACTGCAGGGTAGGTGCAACAACAGACAGGCACATCAATAGAACATACTAGAAATTCCAGACAGGACTAA